CATAACCTGTTAGTGTTCTTTTTTCTAGTCTTGAAGTACATGTTGCAAAACACTTAAAACTAAAATCCCCACTGAATATTACCAGTTTAAAAAATACCAATACCTGATCTCAGTTATTAATTTACACTAAATTAAATTTGTAGGTTAATAGGAAAGTGTAAGGACTCTCTGTGGACTGTGTTGCTTTTTAAACCTTTAGAATCCCATTTTAGGTACCTTCTCTCTGTTTTGTGTGTTGATTGGGGTTTGTTTTTTTTAATTAGTTTAATATACAATCTGAATATGCCTTGATTACTTCCAAAATTTCTGAAGCGATGCTTTCCTCTCATGCACTTTGTATTTTGAATATGCTTGGCTGGCAAACTTCAAACGTTCATTTCGTTTAACCTTTCAACCACTGTAGTTGCAAATGACATCAAAATGCTATAGCTCTGCTCAAAGAAAAGACAGTTTCATACCCTTCATTGAGTTTGTGAGACTTAACCAGTGTAACTTTTGAATGATGGAAAATTAGTAAAGTCCAGGCTGCCCTTGTCCCAGAATAGAATTATGCAGCTCTTTCTGAAACGCATTTCCTAAGTGCAAATTTTCTGATTTTTTGCAGGGTGTTATTGATCCGATTTAGACCTGATTGGATTATCTGCTGCTGTGGCAGTATATTTCTATCATAAACACATGGGAGGGAGATACACTGCATTCTTAACTGGATTCTGATACATCCTATGAATAAATTGCAGCTTCTTTCTGCTCCTCTTATCGAGCCCAAAGGGCACTGTATATAGTCTCAGCCCATAAGGATTCTGCCCTTTGCTTGAAATACTCCATCTAGTAGCACTTCAACTCTGTCACTGACAGTTCAGAATGAGTAAAAAAAATAGCACATTTCACTGCTAAATAGCATGCTAAAGCTGAGCAATTCATATCAGTCCCCCAGAAGTTTAATTACTTTATAAGCATTAATCTGAGCTAAGCAAGTCTCACCAGCAGAGAACACTCCAGCAATTCTGACATGGTGGTGTAGCAATTTATGGAGCTCTGACACTCCCAGATCATCCTCAGTAGCTACAAAGATACTACCAGACTAGTACTGAAAGCTGCTCTTGTTTCACGTGATTCCTGTATTCCTTAAAGTAATAGAATCGAAGCTCTGCCTGTCATTTGACACAAATTATTTTCCCTCCTCCCATCCGCTCTCTCAGTGCCTGCAATTTTATTTTGCATACCTGTGTCTAGAATGGTGGGTGTGCATGCAGTAGCTGTTTTTTGCATATTGTGTACAAATCAGGCCAAATGGAATTTTTCTGCAAGCCTGTTGTAAAAGGGTAGTACATGTTGCTGTCAAAGTTAATGTCTCCCTGCTGACACTTGTCTGTTAGGATTGTTAATTTCCCAGGAACGCTGTTGAAGACATACAACTTTACTGCATGTCAACCAGATCTACTAATAGTTGTGCTTTTTATAGCATCTGAGGGGTTTGTGTTTGCTCTTTTTTCAATACATCAATAAGATTTTTTAAAAAAAAATCCTAGTTACATTGAAATTCTAGTGATGATAATGATGTTATAATAATAATAATAATAGATATAAGAATGTTGATTGAGGAGTGGTTATATGCCAACTTTGCTGTATTGCTAAAATAAGAATAATCTTTATCCCAGAAATAAGTATTTTTAGGGGAACTAAAGGATATATTAGAATTGCACTTTACTGGATCCAGGTTAGAGTGTTGCTTCTTCAGACCCCTCACTTCTCAAGCTATTGGGGCTATGTGCAGCATCAGCTGGATCAGACTTTATTTTCCAGTGTTTCAAATAGGACACAATGATAGAAGACCAGGTCTGAAAATGTTGCTTTTGTAGGTGGAAATCTGTATTGGATTTGGATTATTTTGATGTACAGTTTTCAATATTCTTGTGACTGAAGGAACTGCAGTTGTTTTGTACCATTTCCTTTCTGCACAAGATCAAATGCAAATTCTGAGCAGTAGTTAAAGCAGAAAACCTTGTTACCAAATTTATGTAAAGAATACATAAAATCCAGTATCAGCACTGCCCTGTATAATGTCCATGCTTTTTATTTCCTGTTTGCACTATCAACATAAAATAGACAATATAGTAAAATCTTTGTATATAGTCATATCAAAAATGCCTGAAACAGAATATACAAATTTAAACATCCTTGTATTAGGTGGATTTTTCTTAAGGACAATAGAAAAAGCAAGAAGTACAACTTCTTTTCTAGCCTATTCTGCAATTGTTTTCAGCTCCATTAGGACAAAGTTAATGCCACACTTACTTTCTATTAAATCTTATTTTGAAGGTTAATTGGAATTTACTGTAATGCATTAAAATTGTTCCCCTGTGTGGAGAGGAATTTCTCACCGAATGATGTAATCAAGATAAATTTTCTGTCATTTTGCCTCACCTAGTCTCTCCCAAATTATCTAACAGAAAATATGTCCAAAGAGAGAGAATTCTGTTATATTTTGGGGATGTTACATTTTGAGTATGTTACTTAATATCTTCTATTAGAAGTAATTTTTATTTGAAAAGCAGAAGTTATTTTCTTGCATTTCTGGACCTATTTGAATTACTTACATTCAAGCGCACAGTGGCAAGCAGAGCAAGGATGTAAAATTCTATGGTGCTCTCATCATGTGTTCTGAAACCTAATACAAAATCATATTGGCTTTTAATAGTGTCTAATATAAAGATAAATGCTAGACATATCTGTAGGCCAAATGATTAAATATTTATGCCTATATTAAGCAATACTTGGAAGCTTTTTATTTATTTATAATTTTGTGTCTTTTCAAGTCATATTCTAGAACCAATGTCCTACAGTCTGTTCAGCTCTCAGAAGAGCTCCTAAAGGGCACAAGCACTAAAGCAGAGATGCAGAACTGTATTTTATTTGATAAAGCTACCAAAACCCACCCCTACCACCAAAGAGAAGAACCTTTCCCTGAAACAGTATAAGGTCTTGAGTTCTGCTGTGAAGTACAGATTAACTTCTGTAGAGTAGATTGCTTACTGGTTGCAGAGTCCTGAAGGAAAAACCACTGGCAGTGAGAAAACTGTGCAAGAGAAAATGCCTAAATAGCCCATTAAGCAGGTTGTGAAAGAATTAAAAACAATTTTAAAGGAATTAATTCTGTTTAACTAGCATATTTCCAAAATTAAATGTTACCATTTTAGATGCAAATTTCAAACCATCTATTTTTACTTATCTATTTAATCTAATTAAGCCAGTTTAAATCAAGAGAGCTAATAGAAGCTCAGATCCTTTGTCCTTTATTAGTTTTATTCTTAAACAGCTACAAAGCAACCCACAACCCTGTGTCACATTGAGTAGTCACTTGGCATATTACTACATAAATAGCTCATGAATTCTATATGAGGGAAAATTTCTTCTTAAGAAATATTGGAAGAGGTTTTGGTCTTGCCTACAAACCTAAATAATAAAACATTTCTTTTCTACACCACAGTTGCAGGATTCATATAAATACTGTAGTAGCCTGTAGCTAGAAAGTAAGTAACTGAGAATAGTAGGGTTTCAATAAGGGATTTACTGTGTTCATACCATTTTCCACTACTACCTGACACATAATGTGAATTATTGGAATAACAAAAAAGTATTGCAAATTATATTGTTAATAGGAAATGGAGTCGATGATATTGAATACGTACAGGCAAAGGAGGTAAAAAGTACCCTAAGAGCCTGTGTCAAGCACTGAATTAAGTGAACCCTGTTACATTAAAATCTCCCTGATTACTTAAGAGGATGGGGAGGAGGAATAATAATTTTTAAGAAAGACTGTTTATTTTTTTTCTTTTAGCATGAGATGGCACATTAATATTACATGGCTTCCCATACTAAATAATTAGAGAATTCCAATTCAAATATGAAAAACTATAATTTTCATTGTTTTGCATTTTTGTGACATTATTGTAGAGGATTGAGAGAGATCAAGGAAAGACTCTAAACATTATAACAATAACTTCTGATGAGAATGTTTCTCTTTTATATTAGTGTCAGCAGTTAATAATGCACAACTTTTTTGCTGTATATGTTGTGGGGTTTCTCTTTCAAGCATAGTTATTGGAGGAATAACCTCATTACCTATGCTGCTGGAAACTAAGCTTTTGTGAAAAGAATGGGGGCATTTTTCATAGCAGTTTACAGAGCTGACCATAAGCCAAGCATGGATCAGTACATCACATTCTGTAACTCCTGTGCAAATTCTCCCATTGATTGGAGTTGACAGGGAAATGCCCATTGTTAAAACCCATCCACTGTTAGCAGAAATGTGGCATGAAACAGGTTGAACATGTGATGGCTGCTGGCACTCTGAACGTTGGCTATTCAAATGTAAGATTAGAAAAGCAGTTTGGGGTGGGGTTTTTTGCATTGTGCTTAGCACAAGCTGGAAAAATCTAGTGCGATGGTCATTTCCTGCTGAGTCAGAATGCAGCAAAGCTCCTCCATGCAACATGAATGCAGTGGCCCACAGGAGATGGTTACTTTCTGGTCTGTGCTGGAGAAGAGACTGCACTGTGTTTGGGAAAATAGAAACTATCAAAGAGCTTCTGTGACATTTGTGAAGGAAAGTATTTCAATATGTTTTAACAACTCTTTCAGAGCACAGTTTATCTCTTTGGATGCTCTGCCTTTAGGTTGGGGGTTTTTTTAGTGAATTGCTAACATTTGTGAATATGTGGTTGCTAGAAGAGATAGCACTTCAGAGTGTTTAGCACATAATATTGAAAGAGGCTTAAAATCAACAACAGATCTGTAAAGATAACTGGATTATGTTACAGAAATAATTTTAGTAAATGAGATTTACCCAATATATTTCTCTAAACAGAAATCTCAACATATGGCAGTTTCTATCCAAACTAGAGAAGTTGGACTCCTTCCTCTCTTTCAGAGAAAATAGACTGAGAAGTCTCCCAGCTGTATTCCTGCTCTACTAATTTTGTTTCCCTCCTTTCTACCAGTTTTTGCCCATGTGGAGAAGAAAAGGCATTTCTTGTGTTCCGTGCAAGTGAACCTTTCCAAGGAGTTCTTTTTCATGAAAAGTAAGTTTCTCTGTATTTATTTATCTATCTATATTTTTTCCTTCTCTTCTTTCCTAAATATACTCAGCTTGTATTTAAAAGCAACTTTTAAAACCTTTGAAAATATCACATGTTGAGTAGGTCTATGGATGATGTCTTATGGAAGTTGATGAGGTAATATATTCATTTTAGGTTATGTGTGAAATACTGGCAAATTCCCTTCACAGAAAAAAAAAAAAGTATGAGAGATAAATGATTAAACATTGGTTTGATGAACTGGGCAAAGATGATCTTCCATTAGAGAAGAGAGGCACAAGTATCCCATCTACTTTGCCCTGTCAGCATGACTGAGCTCGAACATTGAGAGTTTCATCTACAAGTAATTGCTTCTGGCCTCTCGTAAGAACACTTTGTCTACACAGTGTTTGATAGATGAGTGCAAAGGAGGACCATATCATGTTGCACAGCCCATTCACCTTTCTTTCCATGTCTGGGAAGAAAGTCTGGCCATGTGTGGGGTCATACCTAAGAGTTTGCTGTTACTGATTCAGCCTGGTCCTGTGAGTCACGTCGTCTTGCCCGCAAGGGAGGGTTTCCCCCTGGATCTGGGTCTGCCCTCCAGCAGTCACATGGAGCACTGTATAGTCTGCTTTACCATGCATAAAATGCCTCTCTGTCTTCAGCTTTTCTCCCTTTTCAGTAAAACTTTCAAGTAGAGGAGTTCATAACATACAGGATGGGTGGCACAGGGATGGAAAGAGAGGGAGTCAGAGCTCAAGCAGCAACAGGAATGATGGATTCACTCCTGCAGTGCTTAGTCAGGACTCTTACAAAAGGCAAGTGCTTGTCACAGGATAACAGATGTGATTGTTCTTGAATAAACTGCAGAGGATGCTGTCACCATTGGACGTGTCTAGTAGTTTATAGTGGTGTCTAGTAGTTTATATTTTGTTCAGAAAGCTGCTGTGTGCTACATAATACTCACGGGAATAAAATGTTCTGCAATTGCATTGTGTTGACCCCATCAGATAGATTCTGTGGAAGGCTAGCAGAAGGACTCTAGGATTTGTAAAAATTAATTCATATGTTAAATGAAAGAATTATTATCTAGGAGAGCTGTTTATCTACGTAAACAATTGCCAGTCTGATTCTTTATTCACTAAGAGATAAAGCTTTTCAAACACATCACAGAGTGAGTTCAGGATAGCAAAACACTGAATCATAGAATAATTTGTTTTAGAAAGAATCTCCAGGAAAATCCAGTTCCCTTTGCTCAAAGCAGGGCTCAGTTCCAAGGCAGAGTGGCCTGACCAGAGTTGTATCCAGTCGAGGATATCTGTAAGGTTACAGATTTCATTTACATCTGTCTTGACACGTGTTCAGTGTTTGAATACCTTGTGTACTTTTTTTTTTTTTCTAATCTGTAATTGAAATTTCCCTAATTATAACTTGTGTCTCTTGGTATCAAACAAGCAGATGAGACAAGTCTAGGTTCAGGTGAAAAGCTGGACATAAGAAGCAGTTTAAAATCATGACAGATACCAGAATTAATAAAAATACACACAATGCTTTAAAATCAGACATGGAGCTTCATTTTGTTCTCCGGTGACTACAAATTTCCTACTTGATGTGAAAGAGGTTAGATTTATCATGACTGCCCTTAGATTTCAAGGTCAGAAAGAAAATGCAGGTTGCAGCTCAATATTCAAAATAGCCCAAATATTAATGGAGCACATAATAGGCACATGCCTTCTTGTGGCATCATAAAAAAAAGTGTCTCGAAGAGGAGGAAAAAACATGATCATATAGACACTATATCTTTTTTTTTCCATGCATTATATTGCTTTAAACACTCAGCAAGTAGAAGTATGTGAATTGTAACATTTTTGGTGAGGGAGTAGGATTCAGAGGGGCAATAGTTAACCTTTTCCTTTCTTTCATTCCTTGTCCTGCCTGCTTCCAGTAAATACTCAACCTGGGAAGCATGCAAAAGACCAACTAGAAAAGCTTTGATGTAGAGCAGAATTTGCTTGAAGGAGTAGCTAGCCATATTTCTCAATAAATGCTTCATTTTCTCAAGAAACAGGAATTATTTGAAGCCAAATTTCTTTAAAAGCCTCAGTTTCCATATATTTTTAATAAGTCTCTGATTAGAGAACTTTTTAGTGTATGTGTTGTATATAATAGTAGGGAAGCATTAATTAAACCCAAAAAGGTGGCAGTTCCCAGGAGAGAAAAACAAAGATCAGGAAAGTGGATATTGAGAAGGAAAAATTTCCATAAGAAATCAGGAAAGCAAAAACGAGAGAGGAAGCATTAAAACCCCCATAGAGCTGAGAGGGTAAAAAATGCATGAAAAGCATTAATAGGAACTAATGATTAAATTTTCATTTTCAAAGGAAAAGACGTATAAATAACGAATAGTAATAAGCAGTATTCGTACTAAAACATGTAAGGAGAAATCCAATATCTAAAGTTAGCTGAAGAAAAAACAATCAATAATGTTTTATTACAGACAGACATTCTTTTAGAGACTCTGTGAAGTGAGAAAGATGATGAAAGTCTCTCTTTCTTGTACAGTACATTAAATTTAAAAAAGAGTTTGAAAAAAATTGTAGAAGAGCTCATGACACAAACTACAATAGGAGGATCACTGTGCTCTGGAAATTGAGCTAATGATCCCAGTTTAGCAGCTGGGACATTGCTAGTCCCAGAGACTTGTTATTCCTTGTATTAATGTCAAAAATTAGCACTTAAAGGTGGTAAAATCAGCAAAACACATTCAGTTTGAAACCTGTTTCAGGGAGAGGTGATCCATGTCCAAATAGAATTGGTTGAAAAGGGGATTGGGTTTTGTGAAAAGCCTGGAAATAATTAATTAGAAGGATAAACACTAAAATATCGCGGTCTTTTGAGTTGGAAGTTTTGCAAGAAAGGTCATAATTTTCCATGAGAAGCAGACACATAGAAGATTTTAGAAGATTTTTGGTTAATCACGAATCTAGTTTTGTGTTGTAGGACAACGTTTGCCAGCAGATCACTAACAGTACCTTGTTGGCAGCCCTGATTCTCCACAGGTACAGAATGTAAATGATACCCAAGATATGAAAGTCCAAAACCATTGTTTTTTGTTTGGCTTCTTAATTTTACAGCAGTTCTTTGCCTTCCTGTAAGCTGGCATTTCACTTTTTTTGGTCCATTTTGTGGTTTGTTCATCCTTTGGAAAGTTAGCATCTCGTGACATTTATATCTACCTAAAAGTCGTCTAGAAGATGATATTTGGAATGAAATAAAAGGAGTAGTAGAAATTAATAAGTTAGCACACAGTGTAACAGAAAATAAATGATAAATTGTAAGTTCTGTAAAAGATGTCCTTTTTGTGTCATAGAAGACGTCTAGCTTGTACTCTTTGAAAATTGTGGATGATCTAATGTATGTTTTGCCTGATGCAACCTGCCACCACAGTACAAATAATAAAAACAACACTAAGCCAGAGATGAAAACCTTTAGAGCACTATAGACAAAAACTGGAAGAGGCAGGAAAGGAGTTATTGAAGCAATTGAATGGGAAGGGGGCCATATCTGTAACAATTTTTAGAGAAATATGTATGTTTTTTTCACTATGTTGTCATGGTTTTTTTGTTACTGCATTGTCTGGTGTTTGCATCTTTGTTTTAAAAGCTTGGAGGTGAGTTTTACAAATTATGTTGCTTATATCCACTTCTCTCATATCTCTCCATCTTCTACTGGATATACAGAAATGGAAAATACTTAAAGCATAGTAAGAACAAGAGGCTCATGAAGGAGGCTTCACTGATGGTTGGCAGATAAAATGTATTGACAGAGGGAGCACGTTGCCTAAAAGAGTTGCTTCCTGCCTCAAAAAAGATAAAATCTGAATTCTAGGAGTGAGTAATAACTTCCCGATGGAAAGGGAAAGAAATCACATATTTACTAAAACAAATAGTCAATAAATAAGTTTCTTTAAATAGGCCACTTTTTCATATTCCATGTGCCTGATGCTTACTGATAATGCAAGAGGCAGCTGGACACAAGTGCTGACTTTGCCCATCATTTGATTGTGGCCAATTCCTTGCTAGTCTAGTAATGAAGGGATGAGTTTGAAAACCTGTCGCAGACATCTTTTATGAAAAATCCTTTCCATAGGATTTTTCCTCCTGAGAAGCTGAGAGGCCTCAGGAACAAAATGCAAACATTGATTATCTGCTGCTGTGGAATGCAACAGGTGCATCTGTGATTGGTCCATGTTGGTTGTTTTAATTAATGGCCAATCACAGCCCAGCTGGCTTGGACAGAGCCAAGCCATAAACCTTTGTTATCATTCCTTCCTATTCTATTCTTAGCTAGCCTTCTGAGGAAATCCTTTATTCTATTCTTTTAGTATAGTTTTAATGTAATATATATCATAAAATAATAAATCAAGCCTTCTGAAACATGGAGTCAGATCCTCTTCTCTTCCCTCATCCAAAAACCCCTGTGAACAAAGTCACAAAAACCTGCAAAACGCAGTTCTGCCCTTGTTTCTTTGAGCAGGCATGTGCCAGAATCTGAATGAAGTTTTTCTCTTCTGGCAGATAAGACTGGTTTTGTAAATGTTGGTGATTATTAATCCCCAGAGCACATACTCTGGGTTAATGCCTTGTTTATAATACATGCACTGTTTCCTGAAGTCATGTCAAAAAAGATGACGTTTGTTTAAGTGAGGCAGATGTGTCTGGTGGCAAAACTGCTGCCCAGAATGGCAGTGCAGCAGGGCAAGCATGCCACAGACCTCTCCTTAGCTGAGGTGTGAAACAGCTGCCACAGCCATGACTCTCCTGAAAACCAGAACATCTGGTGAATGCCCTTGGAAGACACATTAGCCTTCATCCCAGCAGCCGCGTATTGAAGGAGACACTTGTTGCAAGCTAAAGAACACTTATTTTTGTAATTGTATATCCAGCAGCTGGGTGGAGAAAATAAAAGGGCTGCTCCACAAACAGAAAGATTAACAAAGCCTAATCCAGATTTGACCTAGGTCCCCACATAACTCTTTGCAATAACCCTGGGCCTCTTTCATACCTGTTCCATTCCCCCAAACTTTTTGTTTCCCCAGAGTATCACCAGCTTCCCCCTGGCTGCCCTCCTCTCTGGCTGAGCTACAAGCAGCATGCTGCCCATTCAGAGCAGAGGTTGGGGTATGCTGATCACCCATTGCCCAGGATAAATGGTGCTTCTTGAAAATATCTCTCCTCTACCCAATTGCCAGTGCTCACTTCTTTTTAGCAACTTAATTATTCTCAGTACTGTGGCCCTCCTGCTGATTTGTTTGAAATTGGACAGCAGATTCACAAGTTACCAGGGAAGACCAATAGCTCCAGGTGTCAAGTCTCATTTCCTTGGGAAACCAGAGTTCAAATAAATGGTCACAGATCAGTGATTAGATTGCAGCTTCTGCTGAGAACTTCATGGGCTGAACCACTCAGAGCTTCAACTCTAAAATAAATCCATGCAGTATGATGCTAAGTTTCATCATCATGACTATTATATAGGCCTCATGTGCCACAGAAAGAAGCTACTTTAGAGGTAGTTTTAGCAAAGGAAGCTGAGCTAGTAAAAAGTAGAACTTGTGTATTTCATTTGCTGAAGATTTCCCTCTCCGCTTTCCTCTCTCCCCTTCCCTTTCCTGTTTTTGCCTTTGCTTTCAACAAAAATTCCCCTTTGGCTTTTTCAGATGGACGCCTGGCTCAGAGTAAAGGACATGCAGTGCACAATCCCTAGCAGAAGCTGAAAATGGATGATGTCTACTGATGCTTTTCAATGATGTCATCTCCTCTTTTTCTGTTTGAGATGGGTGATAGGAAAATGTTCTAAAATAAGACTGAGTGACCTCTTCATCCCTTGACTTCTCTTTCCACGAGCCGAAAAACTGCCTGAAGAAATGACCACTCAGCTACCAGAGGAGTCTGTGGAGACCCAGAGCTCAGATGAGCTCGAGTGCAAGATCTGTTACAACCGCTATAACCTGCGGCAGAGAAAGCCAAAAGTGCTGGAGTGCTGTCACAGAGTGTGTGCCAAATGCCTTTGCAAGATCATAGACTTTGGGGATTCCCCACAAGGAGTCATAGTGTGCCCGTTCTGCAGGTTTGAAACGTGCCTGCCGGACGATGAGGTCAGTAGTCTTCCTGATGACAACAACATCCTTCTGAATTTGGCTTGTGGGGGAAAGGGAAAGAAGTGCCTACCAGACAACCCAACAGAACTGCTGTTGACTCCCAAAAGGCTGGCATCTCTGGTTAGCCCTTCTCACACCTCTTCCAATTGCCTGGTTATAACAATCATGGAAGTACAAAGAGAAAGTCCCCAGACTCTGAACTCAACGCCCGTGGTGGAATTTTACAGGCCTACAAGTTTTGACTCTGTTGCAACTGTGTCCCACAACTGGACAGTGTGGAACTGCACATCCTTGCTCTTCCAGACCTCGATTCGGGTGCTAGTGTGGTTGCTAGGGCTGCTGTACTTTAGCTCCTTGCCTTTAGGGATTTATTTACTGGTATCCAAGAAAGTCACCCTTGGGGTTGTCTTTGTGAGCCTTGTTCCTTCGAGCCTTGTTATTCTCATGATTTACGGCTTTTGCCAGTGTGTTTGCCATGAAGTTCTAGACTGCATGTCATCTTGATAACAAATACAGTAAAAAAAGGTGTATTACCAGATGTGTAGCATAGTTGATCTATCCTGGTTTTGTATTCTTTGTACTCTTATTTATTCTTATTGTCCATCCCACTAAATGGAAGCAGTTACATGGTCCCTTTTTTCCCAACTGAATTTGACGCCCCGCACCCCAAGCATTTTTTGAGCTAAGAACTGGAAATAAAAATTGCATGTTGATTTTGAAGGGCTGAATTTTAGAAAGGAATAAAGCCAAATCACCAAACTTGGTGCCTCCTGCTGCTGCCACTGTTCAAATGAGTAGGACTTTGCTTTGTATTGGACTGATCAAGTTAGTTCATTCTGTAGGATTCACCCAAGAAAAAATTACTGCAGCAGACACCTTCCAGATGCAAGTACTGCATCTCTTCACCCAAAGCATCTCATGCTCTGAAATACCTGTTATTTATAATCCATCATCATTTATAGCAAATTAAATTACTCTATTAGTTAACAGTCTAAGAAGAATTAAACAAACTACCAATTTTTTTAGTTCTTGCTACAGCAAAAATACTTGTGGGAGGCCAATATTTTTTTTTGAATGTTAAAAACTTGTCTCCAGAACACTTTCCCCAAAGAGAAGCCCGTTTTTCCTTGTCATACAGTTGCAGCTCACTGTGAAATATTCCTGCTAATGAGTACTTCTGGGGACCCAGCCCTGTGCTTGATGTTCTCCAGGTGCACTTTTTTTTAGTGTACACACCTTCGGCTTCCTTTTGAGGGCTCAGAGCTCTGCAGATTTCTCTAGCTATGTTCTGTTATGCTTACCTTCCCTCTCAGCATTTCCACCACCACCACATTTCCAGGCCACCAGTCCTTCCTAATGGACGACCAACCTCATGCACGTGTACTCTGTGGTAGCTGCGCTGGAGAATTTGGCTTATGTGACTTTAGCTCTCAAGATGGACTTTTATTCCCAACCATTAGGAAACAGATCTTCAATCAGTAATACAAATTCAAGGAAAAAAATCTGAAATGGTTAACTGGGGTTTTATTTGGTTGTTTTTTTGGGTTTGTTGGTTTGTTTGTTTGTTTGTTTTTGTTCTGAGTTCACAAATGATCACTGTAAGGAGATAATGTGACTTTGGGAAGATTTTTGTTTAAGGCATAGTCCTTTAAAATGTTTTAATACTCTGAACTCCCCCTGTCACCACTGTGAGTTGATGGCAATCTAGATGTGGCAATTAGCATGTCTCCATTAGTGGAGCTCAGAGGAATTACTGATACTTTACCATTCCACAAATAGAACCAGGCCCTGTAAGGCTTGCTTGTATTTTGCATGGTTTAGGCTATTTTTTGAACTACTGGAAGAACACAAAAATAGGTAATATTTAATGTTTATGTGTATAACTAGGTCTAGCAACACCGCAGCTGCAAACTGGTTTTCTTGTGCACAGCAGAGTGGAGTTGAGCAGTGCAAGCCTGGTTTTTGGGTTTGGCACAAGACTTAGTAATTTCAGGGCAGTGTAAAAGGGAGAGGGGTTTGTTGCATGAAAATTGAATGTATGGCCTAACAATATACTCTTAGAGCAAACAGACTTTGGTAAGAATGAAAAAATGACAGTGGGAAAAGCAGAGCCTGTCAAGAGGATTTGAAGTTAAGCTGGTTCAATTTTTGTAGACAGCACAGGTGGTATCTGCAGTTTTATTCCTATTGCAAACAGAGAAAATGTGGAAATGTAAAGGTCCTGCTTTTCTTGACCCTCATTTTCTAATAGTGCGTATATATGTGTGTGTATGTACGTATAGACACATATGTGAGAAGAAAACTTACAGCCAAATCATAGTTTTCAAGTGTATGGAGTTATGGAGCTATGTATTGAATGATTAAAGGAAATGTTTCAGACTTTTCTGTAATGACAATAATTATACCTAAAATATTTTCAGAATTCCTAGAAAATGCTGTTCCTAAGTAGTTGTTTTTAATGTTTGTGGTAAAGCACATGTAGTTAGAAGAGGAATCGTCTCCAGTCAAGGTTTGACTCATCTATGAACTCATAAATTTTAAGTATCCAACAACAATCATGTCAAAAAAGAAAGAAAAATAAAAACCTATGTGGTTTTATAGAACTTCATGACTTTTGGAAAGATGTATTTGTAGTGTTAGGGGTTTATATGTTTTAGAATTTGTTCAATTTGTCTGAATATAGTGTCTCTAATAAAGGGCTAACAGAGGATATAGGTTTTGCAAATGTGTGATATATATGAATTACCTCTGCACGACATGCTCTACAGTGCTACCTGTTGTTTTTTCCTTTTGATTTTCAGCTGATTATCTTAGCTCCAGCACCAGGTATTTTGTACTCTGTTTTAAAACAGCCTAATTGTAGCAAAATTACAGTGGTATCAGTTACACATCACAGCACAAATTAATACACCTATTGTTATACTTCTCTACTTTTCAGACTGCCAGCCCATTAAATTTATGCTGTTATTCCAGGCTGTGCTTCATTTCTAACCCACTCAAAGATGCAAGCCTGCAAAAGCATATTGATTGTACAGCTATGCTGCCACTCAGCCAGAGCATGCTATTGCAACTTTGGGGTCATAAAATACCTATATGACTTACAATATGGCCATTGAGAATTGCTGGGAGATAAATCTCAATTATTTGTGGAGAATAATTTTTGCTGTGTGACTGAGACTGGAAGAACTTCAGATACTACTTTTTCCTTATTTTTATTCTGTACCATCCTTTAGACTTTGAACTGAAAGCTCTTGTGTCCTCTGCAGTGGAATAACCGTGCTGAAATCAATGTAAATGGGGCTAAAATCAAGACTAGCTTACTTCTCTGCCTGGTTTTCCTTCCTTTTCTCTGACTGTTTTTCTCTCCTTGGAAAGTAATGGCTCCTGAGGTTGTAAAATGCTGCCTGCACACTAAGGCAATTTCCTTTCAGTGGGATTTATTCCTGCTATGCCCAGACATGACTCAGCCAAGTACAAAGTGCTGGAAATTCATTACTACAGGATTAATTTAGACCGAATGAGATTTTTTGTTTTGTTTTGTTTTTAATTCCTGCTTATCCTATGGATGCAGGCTCTATCCTTGCCAGCTGCCCATGCACAGTATGATATTGTGGTATCCCCTGAGGGCTGGGGCAGGATGATGCAGGAGCAGCTGCTGGGCACAGCTTAGGAAGGATGTGCTGAGCTGGGCCATCCTGTGAGCAGGATGAAGGTGAGGGAGGAAGCTCTGCAGGTGTGGCTTGAGCCCGGAGCCCAAAGGGCAATTAAGAGAGCGTGGGTCAACAGAGCCTGTGGGCTCTTACGTAGGAAGTGGGGCTGGGTTGGGCTGCCTGAGAAGCTGACCAAAGCAGAGAGGGGAGGTTTGTCTATGCCTGGGACAAAGGGGCTGTTTTGGATAAATATTTTGGGGTAGAGCTGCTGCAAACAGTTTAATGTTTTCTATACTGACCTTTCTGTGGTTTAAAATTCATTTGGTAATTAAATTAATTCCCTGCTGTTATTACAGTTGAGTGCATTTACTTTCCAAATGGCAAAGCATTGAACTTCATTCTCATTTAAATGGATCCTTAGATTTGGGCATAATCCCACTGTTATGTTAACTATTTAAAGCTACAGGACTGGCCAAAATAAAGGCTGATGAAATTGATTTAGCTGCATTGTGAGCTTTGGTGGGTCCTGCTATATTGATTATAGGCCCACTAAACTGTATGTGCTAGTATGAAACACTTAAAATAGGCAAACTCTTGTCCTGATAACATTATTGGCAAACTTCAGGGTTGCCAGTATTTAACAATGTACCCGAAAATAGACCCTTCCAAACAGCCTTGATTACCTGAAGGTACAGATAAGTTGCTCAGAGCATGATGCTGATAACACTAAGGTCATGGCTTTGATCCCTGTGTGGACCATTCACTTGAAAGTTGGACTCCGTGATCTTTGTGGGTCCCTTGCAACTCAGAGAATTCTCTGCTTCTGCGGACTCAGCAGCACACAGCCAGATAGACAAGCACAGAACAGGAAAACACAGCTTTCCACCTAAGTGGCTACACTTCACCCTGAGGAAGAGGAACTGAGGAGGTTCACAGGATGGTAGATGATGTTTTTGAGGGAGTTCCTTGTTATTTGGTACAGGGCCGTTGTTCTTCTTAATTTTAACCAGTTCTAATGGTAGGTTCAACTCACTGCTCCTACTTTTCTGCCCCCTCTCATGAAACAAGTGTACATGAGCTGTGGATAAAGAATATTTTGAAATGAAGCAATCTTTTCTACTACAGAGTTTGCAGCCCAGTGCATCAGGGCAAGGCTAATACTGAAAATATGGCAACTTGGAGCCAGGATGCGAGAGTCAACAGGGTGCAGAGGGTAAACAGGAGCATACTCTTGAAACAGTTTTGATGTCAAAGCAAGGAAAACATGGGGCTGTATCCTACCTTGTCTTGGCTGGTTCAGAGTTACTGAGAGGGTGTCTGAAGTCTGAGCACCTGAGCTGCCCCAAGCATGGCTCAGCACCCACCCCTGCATTACCTCTGGGACAGTTCACTTCAGCTGTGCATCTTGATTTCTTGCACAGGAGTTCCACATCATGATTTCATCTTCCTGCAGGGATAGCAGACAGAGTGAAAGATCCTCAGTGTTACACTTTTAAACATTTTGACTATCCTAAGGTTTCTCAGGGTTCGTTTTTTTTTTTTCATTTCTTCATATTTATTTCTACAAAACAAGACAGTGAACTTTTAGTGCCCTCAAGGATTAAAAAAAGAGAGAGAGAAAAATAAAAAATGGGAACTGAGAATTTTGAAATCATTTTAAGATATTCAAAGTAGAAAGAGACCAAGTGTCTTTTTACTTTCAGACTAGATATTATCCTTTGAGTGACACCAGTAAATATTTAGTGCTGGCTATTCCTGAGGGAGTTGATAAGTCTTCCAGACCTTAAGCACAGACCCCATACTCCACTACTTTTCTGTAAAGCACCATTCTTCTTTTGCATCAACAACCTCTGTCAAAGTTGAAACATCACAGTTCACAAAGAGTTCTGGCACAAAGAATAAATCCCCAGTCTGGGGACAGTAAATCATCTTTTTAGAGACACATGTGACAGTAGCAAAGCTTTCAGTGTTAGACCTTAAACAAAGAGAAGTCATCTTGCAGTCTGAATTGCTAGCATAAATTTAATTTTAAATCAAGTTTCATTGTGCCGGGCAGCACTACAACTAGAAAATTTTTTTTTTGTTTTTCTGCCTTTTGCTATCCAAATGTGGTTTGCATTTTAAAAAATGTATTAAATTGTAGAAATCAGAGACAGATAGAAAAAAGCCTAATAAGTAATGTTATCCATTTCCTTCGCCCCTGTAGAGATGAATGCTTTGTCTAGTCTGGTTTTAAATATCTAAAGTGATGAGGCCTCCACCTCTTCCCACAAGGGACTTCTCAGCCATTTAATAGGCTTCTTTGTTAGAAAATACTTGCCTCATACTGATCCCATTTTTTTTCTTCTGCATAATGTAGTCCCTTTCTTCTGTGCCCACTATTTTAACTTTTATGAAATCTGGGAAATGTATCATATTTATCCATTTCATACTGTAGCTGAATAATTCATTATTCTTGTTATTCAAGTAACAAAAGATACAAGCAAGCAGTAGCTGAGCAGCTAATACTTCACTGAGATGGTGTACCATGTACCAGTGGGTATATTTCCTGGCAAGTCCTGGCTGACACTGCTTTCTGCATTAGGGAGTGAAAAATGTCAAGAATGTCAAGTGAAACTGAAGAAATGCATCTTCCCAAGTGCATGCATGGCAATATTGAAATTTCAAGAGGTGCTGAGGCGAAGAGCCTACTTCTTTGGATAGAGCTTTTCTTTCTAAAAGTGGATGATTTTATTAAAAGTACACTTTCAAAAAGCATTTGAATTTTCTTTTCATAAGAAAACCTCTAAGATGAGAATCACACTATGTCAAAACTCTTTAACTTGTTGAGAGACAAGGCTGGATTGATTGCCACTCACTGCTAAGCAGTTTTTGCTGACAGCCTCGCTGAGAAGAAAAAATGAATCCAGAGTTTGAAAAGATGCCTTTGCAACTGTGTCACTGGGATCAGATCTGTGCATGAAAAAATGACTCATGTTTTGACAACAGTAACTGCATTTCTGATTTAATTACAATATATTAGATAATCCTCTGCCTCATTCAAAGGACAAGAAGGAGCAGTGTGACTAAGAAAATCCTAGGTGGACAGCTAGATTTTATGTGGTTTTGCATTCATAAGCTATTTACTTCAAAAAAGCAGTGCTATGCTTTATGCTGACCCTGGGCCAGGTGGGAGGTCTGCTGGGTCTCTCTAACCTCAGAGCTGTAGTGGGTGCACATAAAAAAGGAATATGGAGAGCCTACATGATGTAGAGCTCCTCATATACCTCCTAATACATGGCAATCCGCAGTTGGAGATCTCTTGAGATGGAGTTTGTGCCTGTGGGTTTCATCCTTGCCTATGGACTTCTTTGGATTCCTTTAAATGTTGTGTTTAACCCACTTATAGGTGCCCACTAGGCACCTATAAATTCCCACAGCATAGGGTCCCACAATTTCATTCTATACTTGGTGGAAAAGGTCTGCTTGTCTTAAAACCCCCTGAGATACTTCTGCCCTACTTACTCCAATAAGGAAAGCAGTTCTGAGGTACGATGGCGTTGTTTCCTCTACACCTCAGGACTTCCTCTGTCCTTGGAGATGGTGAAGTCAGGGTTTTATCCCTCATACTTCTCCTCAGCTGCCTTCTGTCCAGCCTGTTTGATCTCTCCTTAGGCAGCAGGCTTTCCACCACCAGCCACTGCACTGGCCTGAACCTTTTCTACTACTTCCTCTTTTTTACTTTGAGGTGGGATGAAGCATTCAGAAACAGATTCTACTTAGTGCCATTTATTGATAAGCCATGTGACCACATAAGGTACCTGTACTCCTACAGCCATGGAAATGACTTTGTCATTTTTATTGGTCCTGACAGCACATCTGAGGTGTTACACTTGATTATTGTTATTTTATATGTTATATGGATATGCATTGATAAACCCACTAACATGTGAGTTTATCCTGTGCATTCTAATATCCCTGTTTAAATTGTCTGGTTCACATGGGTGCAGGAGATGGTAGATTCCAGAGAATATTTAATTTAATCTTGGCATAGACTGTATGGATTTTATCTCTGTTAAGCACATGGCCTAACACTGCTGGACTGAGCAGCAGCTCATCATCTCTCCCTGCCATAATGGTGGCATCTACCTCACCCACTTGCTGCAGCCATCCCAAACTACAGCCTAGAGCCTTTTTTATTGCACAAATATGTTTTTCTTTTAAAGACATTTTACTGAATCTTTTATTTCCTTAAACTCTGTGGCCTTTTTCATGTCCCTCTTTCTTCATTCCAAGAAGAGGAGATGCTCTCAGATAAAATTATTAATAATGATGCTGTTTAGACAGTAAGCCCATTACATTGGGTTCTTCATGTTGCCTAGTAGGGCAAAGGTTTGGAGTCTTTTCCTCCAGATGTCCTACCAAATATAAGCAGGGACCTCAGCATTTTGCTGTCCTGGGCCTCACAGAAGGCTCCGGTCAGCCCCTGGGGATCTGCATGCTGATGCTCTTTACATCAGTGTCCCATCTTTTAGTTAGAAAAACTGAGTCACACTAAGGAAACATTATTATTGCATTAAAACTAGATAGAGCTTATTTTCTTTCAGCAAAGAATGAAATTATGAGGCTGAAACTTTTTGGGGCACTTCTAGGGTCAGCTGCAAATCTCTAACAACTTTTTTGTTTGTTTTAGTAATTAAACACAATAATAAAGCCAGGTCAATGAGGCTGCATGAATCATGCAGATAGTTAATGAAGTTTCACAGGTAGGGGCTGAAAATGCTGGGGGAGAAATGGGATTAAAAGAAAAAGAAAGTGGAGGAAAAGGTTTGCTCACACAATAGGGCTTGGGTGGAAAGGGTAAGCAGCTGTAGATCCTCTACAAGAGACTGCAGAAATAATGCACAAAGACAGGTAAAATGTGCAGAATGTGTGTGTACGCTCCAGTGAATTATGGACACATTGTAGAGTGAAATTCTCAATCCAACAAACTTGAAAAAAGGAAGTTTTAATCATATATTGCTTTACTTTTTACTTTGTCACAAAAATCCATAGGTTTCAAATTCCAGATCAAGTTGAGGCTTACCAAATGTAACATGAGTTTTATGAGGAGTTTGGCTGCTGTAACTTTGCCTTCTATAACTGTGTTTTTTAGAATAATGAGGAAAAGTCATAATGTGGGAACTTTTTGTTTGTGTTTATTTCATGAGCGGAACAATGAAATCTACCATAATCTTGCAGACAAGGAAACTATGACATGGAAGCAAATGGCAAAAATATAACCATTCCTATCTGAAATAATGAAGTACTAATGTAAAACCAATTGTTTCACTCAATAAAACTTTAATTTTTCAGTAAAGATTTGTCATGATAAGCATATTTCTTAATGGCTGGGTTTGAAGGTCTTTCAGATTTTATTCCTGTTATTCATTGGAACAGTTTAAAAAATAGACTGAAGGGGAGTATGTGATAGTATTTCACAGTGTTTTAACCAAATAGATAAAATATTTTTGTTCACTGCGCAAGTATGTAAAGTGTTTTGTGCAAAGGAAGACTGCAAGAAAACTGAATTAAAACCAGACAAATTTCTGGATGATCGCTCAACCGTGTATTTTTAAAATAAAATGACAGCACGTATGAGGGAGCATTCCAGGTAGCAGCCAGCAAGTAGTTTGCAGCATGCATTTTGCATTGGAGTCCTACATTTTCTGGCCTTGCCAACTGGCTATTAAAAACACAGGGCTGGTTCCTGGTTCAGAGAAGGATGTTCTTGCCTGAAAATCCTTAGTGCAGGCTCCTCTAAAGCCTGAGTCCACAAGAGTTTGCTGCTTTTGGGGACAGCCAGCTGCAGATTGGGTTCTCCTTGGCATTGTCAGAGAGGTGTCGGTGGAGCCCGGTCTCAGGGACACAGATGGGATTTGCACACACGTGCACAGGGAAATGGAACTGCTCAGCCAACACACGCTCCCCTGGCATGAATTATTCCTTCTTTTAGCAGGACTGCAAGAAGTAAGAGTGTTGTGTAATTCTGCTGGTTGCAAGTGCAGCCAGACCACAAAAGTGTAACTCACAGAGGTGCGGTATGTGATCTTGTAGAAGTGGGTAGAATAGGAAGATTTATTCACATTTACCAGTATGTGGCCACTGGGGTAATTTGCATTTTGAATGGATGAGACTTTGATTTAGTGATGGCTAGATATAAAACTCATGCAGTGCTTCTTTATTTTTTAAATTACAAAACCTTCCCTGCCATGCTTTGCTTCCTTCTTCTCTGTTAAGCTGGGATGGCCCAGAACTGATCAGCTTTCTGATATCCAGATCTCATGAGCCTCTAAGCTTGCAGATCTTGGAACCCTGGATTGTAGGCCAAACCCACTCTGAGCTGAAAGCGACCCATCCTTGGAAAAAGGTGGATGTGTGTGGTAATCACATATCCTCTGAACAGAGGATTTTCCTGGGAAGCTGTGAGAAGCTGCAAGAAAGCTCAGAGAAAGAATTAAAACTATTATTACCTCAATCTCTGCCCCTGGCAGGCAATCTCTGTTTGTCAAAGATGTTTACAAGAAGGAGTTGTCTCTTCTTGACCAGTAGGTGAGAGAAGATTCCTCAGACTACAAGAAAAACTCCCTCAGACCTCCTTGCATGTTGGTCAGTGGTGGTACTAGGGAAGTGTAGGGTAGCATCTGTGGGGAAGCAAAGGGAAGTGGGGGAGCAGGAGTGGGGGCCCCCAGAGGAGACCGTTGTCACCATGATATTTTCTGAAAAATCCCTTTGCCAGAATTTTTCTCCTGAGAAGCCTCAGAAAAGAAATGTAAACAATAATTATCTGATTGCTTTGGAATGTGGTCTGGAGGTTTTTTACCAACAGGATCATCTTTAATTGGTTCCATGTGAATTGCTTTTAATTAATGACCAATCACCATCAGCTGTGTCAGACTCTGAGGGGTCAGTCACGGGCTTTCATTATCATTCTTTTCTAGCCTTCTGATGTATCCTTTCTCTTTAGAATAGAATAGAATAGAATAGAATAGAATAGAATAGAATAGAATAGAATAGAATAGAATAGAATAGAATAGAATAATAAACCAGCCTTCTGAGAACTTAGAGTCAAATTCTCATCTCTCACCTCTTCCTGGGGACCTCACAACACCACGGACAGTGATGTGTAATGAGTAGGGAAGGCTGTGTGGTGAGGAGGTGAAACCGCGAGGTGGAGGCTAATGAAAACTCATACCCCATCCTGAACTGAAAAACCTTCTGTAAAGACTCTTTATGCATCAATCTTCCTTAAGGAAAATTTGTCTGTGAGCAAATGGCTCGTAAAATTAATACCAGTGACAGGTAAAATTGGGCAAGAAAAAGTGAGACCATCACTGGTTAGCTTGGAGGCTCTCCAGTCAGGCATGTCAGATGAATTTTTCCTAGGCTAAAGATCCTGCTAAAGCAGCCTCAGACCTATCGGTGGTCCTCTTCAAAAATTCAGGAAGGATATAAGAAATATCAGGAAGAAGGGAAAAGACAGGTGTGTTTATATTTTTCAAAGAGGATTGGGTAGGAGCAGGGAATTAGTGACTGATCAGCTCTCTGCAGTTCTCTGTGGTTCCCCTGTTATACTTGAAGGCAGATGCAGGACTACCCATTGCTCCTGCTATGATTGTGTCTCTGAATGATTGAAAAAATTCATATTTGTTATGGTAAAGGAAAAATCCAAGGTGAAGGTAAAAGCATAAAGGGAAAAATCTACTATAAAAAAATACGCTGTCGGAGTTGCATGCCTCTGAATCACCTAGGATTCATTTAATAACCAATTGTTTCAGTAAAACTGTAGTAAAAGAAATTTCCTATTGACAGAGGTTCACTTCAACAGCTGCCAAGCACAAGTCAAGGAATGTTTACTTTGGTGCCTTTGTCTGACAGAGAAGGATTGTTTCTGGCAAGCACTTTATATTATATTGAGATATCAGTCAAAACAAACAAGAATGTGAAAATTGCATTTCAAAAGTAATCTAAAGCCACCATGCAGAGTCTCAAACATTAAAGGACACAGCGAGGGTAGGTGTGTTGGTATATTCAAAGAATGGCAATATATTTGCCTCTTTTATATTCTTGATGTGAGTGAAACTCTTCTTGATCCATGGATCTATTCTCTTAGCACAGACAATAGTGCTCAGACTTTACAATGGCATTGACTGTTGTTCCTTGCACCAAGATATCCCAACCACCAATGTGTTTGTGCGAAAAATTTGAGCAGTTAATTTAGCTCCAGGCAAGTCACAAGTAACTCCTGTATTTCCACCATCCAGTACCAGAAGGGCTAGAGAATAGGGAATACAGCAGATCAAAGCAGTGTCATTAATATATTTAAAATCCTTTCCAGTAAACAATTTATATGCTGCATATAGCAAATAGCAAGTTCAAAATACTTCAGCTATGTAATTTCTTCTTTCAGCTTTACATGGTTTTCTTAACATATGACTGTTGAAAGAGATTTTCATGAGTGGTTTTGTTTCCAGTTGCTTTGCTGTACGACTTCACCTTTAAATTCTTCAATCTGACAAAACTTTCAGTAGCTCAGTATACCAGAAGCTCCTGCTGTTAGTCCCACTGCAGCACCTTAATTGCAAACCAGAGATGATAGCTCATGTTCAAAGAGCACAGACAGAGGTAGGACCAGTGATCTATCTGAGATCTGTTACAGTGGGAAGCCTTTCCGGGAATGCTGCAGGCTAACAGAGAGAGAACAAAAAATTTAAATGATGTATCAAGAGTGCTCCCCAAACCAAGAGAAGGCCACACAACTTCCTCAGGTGTGAAAAGCTGTACACTCCATCTATCCTCAGGCACAGCATCACACCAAGATGTGCCTGTATGTGAAGGGCCTGATGTTACTGAAGTCACTGATGGGGTTTTCTCCTTTCCTTTTCTGTGGGTAGGGGAATGAATGTATAGGATGCCTCCTACATGTAGTGGATAACAATAAAACCCACCAGCATGCTTTAAAAACATAAACATATATGATTGTCACCATGTTAAAGGTGACACAGTCAAAGAAATTATTCTTGCAGCTGCAGCAGCAAAGGGTGAAGAATGAAGATGGAGAATGGCAAAGTGTGTTCCCAGAGCAGCTTGTTAGATCCCAGCAGCAGGTGCAAGGGAAGCTCTGCCTGCCACACAGGTGAGTCCTGCTCCTACCTGAAACTTCCATGGTGCTGGAAAAGGAACCTCAACAAACTGGTCTTGGGTAAACTTCCAGTTACCATAAACCATGGGGTGCATTAATGGTAAAATGAGAAATCCAACACTCAGGAAAGTATCTTAGAGCAGGCAGCAGAGATGCAATGTAGATTTGCTGAGGGGACCTGCTGTTGTAGCATGATGACCTAAGGAGGTTTCCCAGCCTGGAAATCTCTGATGTCTGCCTCCCCACCTGTACCAGGCAGCTACAACTCAATGGATACCAGGATGATTGGCTGAAGCTACGTCATTGCTCACCAGAATGGGGCCATCCCTGAGCCAGAGGTCATGGAAAACAGGAAGCTCAAAAGCTGCAGGATGATGCAGCAACACACACGTACAAATGCTGCATTGCAAAGTGATGCAATATAGGATCAGAGACTTGTACTGTAAAGGCTGAGGCAGTAAATCAGTGAGGGCAGCACTGTAACAGCATGATCTTCTCTGAAAGCTTCCCACTGCAGTCTCATGGGATCCATCTGACACAGGTATTCCTCTTTCCTCATCCAATCCCACAGATAAGAGCTGGACCTTAGTACTAATGGGGATCCTTGAGTCTGTGCTGTCCAACCAGCTCACCCTGAAACTGCAAAGAGAAATGGAAAAGAGGTGGAGACAGATTTGGGTCTTCATGGAGACAGATTTGAGTCCTGTGAGTCTTCACAGGTGAGTCCTCCTGCATCGAGGATGGTCTCTGTGAAGCACTGGGGTTTCTTATCTTTCTAAGTTACTTTGCTAAAGGTCCACATCCCCTGCCACTTCCCTCAGGCAAATGGTGCCCTGAATTGGTCAGCAGTATTGAAGGCCCACAGCAGAATCTAGAAAGGTGTCAGGGTTAGCACTTCCTTGTGGAGTACTTATTTCAATTTTGGGTTTGCAAAGTCTACTACATGAGGTAATCCTGCCATTGCCCTCCAGCTGTCTTTACTTTGATGAGCTCCTCTTATGCTTCTAATCTGATATAATCAATAACTTCCAGTGAAGATTGATGTCCCTTGCCATCTTTCTAAAATACAGTTAGAAGGTCCATAAAAGGCAGGGAATTCACAATTTTATGGAACAAGATCAGCCCTGAGTCTTCACATAAGTCTCTACATAGGGCCTGACTACATGTGAATAAAACTG